TCTAGAAAAAACCACCTATCTAGATTCTAGAAGTCATAGAGATAATTTATACCTAAAATTTTGGAAAGTCTACAAAAGAGGAAAAGAGGTAGCAGCATAATGGTTTCAAAACCAGACAATTAGATGATAGTTTTCTAGACATAGTACTTTGATCATATATTTAAACAAAGGAATACTAATACCTAAAAAGGATATATTTTCCTTATGCGACATATTATACAGCAATGTTCAAGACTACATAAGCATCAAACAATCATCGACTAGTCCTAGCAAAATTAATTCAGGATTACAAAAAATTTAAATAATTAAATATCAGTGAGGTGAAAGAAGTCTCTTCATAAACACTAGTTATTCTTCAGGAAATTCACAAGGGAAGGATAAATGAAGATTGAAGAGATTACAACATTTCAGAAATGATTAGCTGCCTCTCATTAATGCAGAAAGATGAAAATCAGCCATGAACTTACCCGGCGATCGAAAAATCGAATTGCCCTCGGATCCTGTACCACAATAATGGAAAACAAATAAGTAAATTACTTAAATGGAATTGAAAACAAAGTTAGGTTAATATGAGCATACTCTTAACAATGAAAAGATCATAGAATGCCATAATACTCGAAACAGAACTATGACACTATAAAAGGGAGATAATAGTTAGTAGTTACCTTAGGTATGTTTTTGAAGAACGATAAAAACCCTTGCGCTTGCCTAGAATCTATTCACAGATAATAATAAAAGTGATCAAAAACATTAGCACAATTGTACTTACTTTTTGGAAGAATAAAAAAAATGAATAATACCTAATTTAAGCTCAGGAAGGTTATTGTGGAGTTGATGGAAGTTTTCAGCCATTGACAGAAAACAAATGTGGGAGGCGCGAACGTTGAGTGTATTTGTGAGAATTGGGAAATTTATATATGAGGAGATCAATTCTACGAAAAAGCACTATGGGTAGTTTTTTAAACTTCCTCATTGATGTTCTTATTTTATTATATTAAAATTTAATTTTTATATATTTTATTTTATATAATTAGAATGTTTTTGTATTAATAATATTTTATGTTAAAATGTATTTATTATAATTCATTTAAGGTGAAATATGTAGTTAATGTACTAATGATAGTTACTTGAGATTATATGTTTTTTTTGTATAAATTAAAAAATGTGAGGGCAAAATAGGAAAATAAAAATTACATTATGGAGATAGTTATTTCATGTTTTACCTTTATATATTATAGATAGAAAAGAAATATATAATAGATATATTATAGATAGATATAGATATTAGAAAATATTAATATTAAATGAAAATGAAGGGATGAGTTGTGTGGTGGCGGGAAACTCGCTGGCTTTTGCTGAGGGAGGCTCACAATCACAACGTAGCCCATCACAAAATAAAAATAAATAAACATAAAATTTATGATAATTATATAGGGCCATATGTGTGAAGGACCTTCTAGTGTTCTACAAAATTATAACACCGTTGGATCAGTCCTCTTAATCCTGTTCACAAACAAAAGGGATTAACTGTTTTTGGATCATTTCCATGAAACATCATTGATCACAACATTTACAATTTCAAATGTTTGGCCACCAAGACCAATAACAGCCAAGTTTTGAACTGCAACAACATTTACAAGTTAATGTTAGCTTATCATATACACAATATATGTTATTTACAAGTTATATATTAACTGATCATATAGATACCTGCTATTTATAAGCCAATATTATGTTTTCCATAAATTTCATTTTCAAATTTCCACGAAAATATAAATTGAAATTATTGGACTCAGTATAATACTGTTTTTTATATGTGGGAATCATGAAAGTTATGCATGACACTGGTTTATGAAGCTTACCTAGGCCGAGTATATTTATTAGGCTATATACAGAGTTAATTTTTTGTGTTGGTTTTTCTATATAAGACAAGTTCATGAAAGTTATATATGTTAACTTATATATTTTCATGTAAAAGTTATATACGACACTGATTTGGGATCATAAAATTATAATTATTTAATTAATGATTTTTTAAACTTTATGTATAACTTATGAAATGAATGAAGTATTTCTCAAACACTAGTGTATACCTCTTTCAATAATATGATTATTGTGAGCATAATCTATGGGGGGGTTACATATCAATTAACATTTACTTGGAAAAGCTTGTATAGTGTGTGAAAGAAACATTGACTTTTTAATGATCTGTCCTTAAAAAAAATTCTGAGCTTATAGGTAATTAGAAACTTGTAACTTTTGTGTTGAAAATTTATTAAACTAAATATACTTAATAACCAATACAAGTTTACAAGAACAAAATTGAAGGAGTTAAAAAGCAGGAAACTAGTTACAAACACATTGTTGAAGAGTGGCTATATAATACAAGAAGATATTGCTTAATTCCCCATGAAATTAATTGAATAATTGATACAGCATCAGGCAAAAACAAAAAACAAAAGATGAAGAAAATAATTTCACGTTGGTGTATAGCTTCTTCACAGAACATAAACAACAAGGTGATGAAGCCTTCATGTTGAGGGGGCAAAGCCAAGAGAATAGTCCAATGAAAAAAATTGTATAGCGACCTCTGATCCAGTATGTAAAGATTGCAGGATCGCTTGTGCTTAATGGAGTGCCCTATTTATGTCTAGCTGTGTCTTTTTCAATAGACCCATTCGCCACATGATGCTCCTATATGCATATACATATAATATATATAAAATTTATGAATCACAGATATTTTCAATAACATAAGGAGAAAATGCATTTGTGCTTGTTACCCATCTGAATCTGCAGTAAATTCGGACATTTGGATTATTATGCAATTGAAATTTTGGTTCTAAATTTGTAAAATTCAATCTAGAGATAAATTTGCAATTCTAGTTTAATATGTAACATTCTTAATGCATAGTCGCATATAGTTGCTCTCTAAATACAGCCTTTTCTTTTATATTTATTTCTAACAATCTTCAGATAAAAATTGAGCTTGCATTTTCAACAACAAATGTTTTCTTTATTCCTCATTCCTTTTCAGGTACAGACCGAAAGAAGAAAAATGGTCCACATAGAACTTAAAATAAGGCATTTGAAGAAGATTTTATTGTGCTCTCACAAAACCACACATATATGTCTTTCTTTGTTGTCATAGTTATCTCCTGCTTGAATGAAAACAACCCCAGAACAACCCTTTCTTTGCCATATATCTATCTATCGTGGCTTGTTGTCCTTGTAATTATGCCTTCAATCTCTAAACAAATTGCGATGGAGACTGCTACCTATGTAGCTATAGATAGAATGAAAGAAAGATGAGGTTAGAGATAAGTGCGGATGAGGCATGAAAAAATAGAAAGAAAGACAGAAAGGGATAACAAAAATAGTAAAATTTGGTGTGCTACTAAAGTAGTGCTTTCAAGTGCAAATGGACTATTTCCATTTTGACAACAAGGATAGAGATCATGGAAACTATGACCAGTTCCAATTGGGTAGGGCTTTGAAACTTAGTCATATACAGTCATACTGTATATACCAGTGGCAAGTACAAACACAAGTGCATAACCAATTAATCCATATCTTTTGGTTCTTTGACTTCTTTAATTTCTAATTTCTTTCTAGATAGAGAAAGCTATAAGAAAAACCAAGAAGCACGCATGGGAAGGGGAACCAACAACATTCTCAAATAGACTGTAATGTGACAGATAGAAATATAGACATGTATACAACCACAATGAGAGAGTGTGTGTAGATAATGGCGCATCTCTTTTTGGTGAAAGTGACTTACTCAATAACCCTTCATACAAAGGGATAGCTACCATTGCAAGCCTTGAAGTGAATGGGGAAATAATTGTACTCCATCTACATCATTTGCTCCTTTTAGGGTTAGTGAGGATATACACGTGGAGTGTTTTTGTGGTGCCTTAAAAGTTTAGATATACAAATATATGTCCTTTATGTAATGTAAGATCAAGAGAGATCACCAATCTAATTGACAATTAATTATAACATTATTTTGTGGTTAGTTAAAATATAATATAAGATTAAAATTATTGATGCACTTTGTAACGAACAAAAATAATAAATAGACATTGACTCTTATATTAGACTTGTATTTATAATATATTATATTTTTTTTGACTTAATTATATTCGTCATCATTTTTTGTTTCAGAAATTACACTTATATCTCTTACATGGATAATTAGTTTAATGTATGTATATAACTAGGAGTGATTTAGGTAGGCTTAAAAAGATAAATGTTTTATGTAATTTGACTAAAATTCACGGATGTCAGTATAATTTGACTAAAATGTTATTTCATTATTATTTTTTTGATAAAGAAAAATTGTATTAAAACAAGAACAATGGGTGTCCACCTGATACAAGAGAAACACAATGGACTACTTTTTAAAACATAAAGTTATACATATATTTCGATCCAAACATCAGTTACCAAAAGAAAGAGACTTGTTAGTCACATAGGAATTTAACCAAATCCAGAATCTAGTCTGAATAATGTTAATAAGGTAGACATAACTCGACTTTTTCTCCATAAAAATATTATTTCATTGTTTTGGAAGCATTAATGTCGATCTCCACTACTAGAAAGGGTAAGATGCTTACTCTAACTTATTATATGCTTGACCAAATATATGAATTGGTATATGAAAATTGTAGTAATGATAATTATGAAAGACAAAGGGAATAATAAGAAAAGAAATTATTTGTGTTATGAGAATGTTGCCATAAAAAGTCATAGCATGTGACATCCCACTGCTTTTCGCACCAGATTGTGGGACAAAGATGAAAAGGAATTTGAATATTGCTGCACTACATAATTATATTTGTAAGATATAGTTCATTGTTATTTATATTTTCAAAACTACATTCAGATTCTTATCCTTAACTTGTTTTAATGATGAAGTCATGTAAGTCAAAAGTAATATTATAAATGCACAAAGTATTAATTCTGCTAGCTATGAATTTAGTCCATGGAAGGTGAATGAGATAGTTGGATAGGGTAGTAGCAAATGAAAGCTGGTTTTAGTTATGTATCAACTAGCACAACACACTGCGCACCACGTGAATTGGCATGACTTAGAACTTTTTCAAGTTTACAGCAACTTTTTGGTCTAAAGAAATTGAGGCCTCTAGTCCTTGCTGTCTGCAATAAATTGCTCTTGTTGGATTCCTTATTACTTTGCCTTATCTTCAATCACCTCTCCCTTTGTCCCCTCCCCCTCTCCCTCCCTGTGCTGTCATTCTCACACTCTACCATTTGCTTCCATATTATTTGTAGCATTAATATATGATCCTCCAATCACCGAGCGAGTCCCACATATACTACATAATAAGGATCGAGAGTGGAATGAGATACATTTTTGTCATACTATATTATTATATGTCTTTTTTACTTATAAACTTTTTTACTAATCTTATATTACAATACCAAAACATACGTATATAGGGTGCAAGATATTATAGTAGCAGCATTTCCCTCTCATTACTGAGTCACCCTATAAGAAAGGAAGTCTTTCTCAAATTTACTTGAAGGAAACAGGAGCAAACTAAAATGATCATGAACTGAAAATGATTGAAGAATAGTTGCTACTCTTGCTTCAATAAAAGAAGGGAAGAGAGTAAATATTTCGTATCAAACCAGAGCTAGCTAGGGTTATTTGGTGCAAATATTTCTTATCAACTTATTACCAATTGATATGTATTCCTCAAATAGCTCCATCAACGGCAATGACCTAATACCCTACCCTATTCAATTTTACTCCTCTAGGCCATTTTCCATTGAAAGCAACCCAACACAGTTAGAAACACCTAATACATCATGTGCCCTTCTTTCTCCTCCTTTGTCCTTTTTTCATTTCCCTTCTCCCTTTGAAGAAGACCAGCATGATATTTTCCTTGAACAATATCAGTATCACTTACTTAATCACCAACAATCTATAAATGAGTCTGAGACTGTTAATGTTAACATGGAGAATACTAGTATTATTATTCCTGATCATAAAGTAGGACAAGGTACGGAACCACAGATCCCAATAAGAAGATCCAGCAACAAAGATCGGCACAGTAAGATCAAGACAGCAAAAGGACTAAGGGATCGAAGAATGAGATTGTCTCTTTTAGTTGCAAAGAGGTTTTTTGGTCTACAAGACATGCTAGGCTTTGATAAAGCAAGCAAAACTGTGGATTGGTTGCTGAATCAAGCAAAAGTTGAGATCAAGCAGCTAGCAAGAGAGAAGAATATTCATCATCATCATGATGTCAAGAGTGCATCTTCGACTTCGGAATGTACTCAAGCTGTGTCAAGCTTGGATGAGGTTGCATTGAGTGGAAATCATAAGGAACATGTTAAGGGAGTAATAAAGAGAAGAAGGGTTAAGGTTTGTAGAAAAAGTGCATTCAAGCATGTTGGTAAGGAATCAAGGGAAAAGGCAAGAGAAAGAGCAAGAGAAAGGACCAAACAGAAGACAAGGTCTAGGTTGCTAGCCGAAGCTGATGAACCAAAGCAATTTGAAGAGACAACAAAGGATAATCTTCTCCATTGGAATCCCTTTGAAACTGTTGAAGGGTGTGCAGGTACTCAGAGCCAAAGTGCTGATCCCTCCTGGGATGTGATAAATGAGGTTGAAGAACGAAACTCTCAAGGGATGGAGCATTTGGGAACTGAAGAGGGAATAGAGCATGAAAATTCTTTGGTCATTATGAGCAAATGGAGCCCAACCACGATTTTCAATTATTCCTTCACTAACTCAGGAATCCTTCAGGAGGTACTTCAATTCAAATTAGTAACACCTAACTTCACATGCATCCACCAAATTCAATATATAGTATGCTTGTTTCAGCAATATATCATCTTATTTTATCAAAACCATGCATTTTCTATTGAAGATAATATAAGATTTAAATGTTTGGTTTTTAAATTGTGATTCTAGTTATGTTATTTACTGCCATTGCTGCAAAAAGAAGCCCCACAAATGCATTTTCTGATCATTGCCACATAAAATTGTTTGCAGCATCATTTTTCAGAATTCCAGTCCATGGGAAAACCTTGGGAGGCTTATAACAAACACAACATCTAATCTATGATCATCAAGATTGCAACCATCATATTTTTATTTGAGCAGAATAAAATAAAAGAATGCTGTATATTTCTTTATTTTCGTTTTGGCGTGTAATGTTCTAAGGTATCTTCCATATGCTAGAATATGGGAAAACAATATTTCGTAAATGATTGTAATGTCATCTCTATAAAATATTACCTCTTTCTTGTTTCTGTTCCCTTGACCCTACAAATTTATTTAGTCATAACATGACACAAATTGCTCAATATCTTATAATAGTCTTAAAGATGTTTCTAATTAAGACAAAAAGTAACTGATTGCATCTTTCCCTAACCCTGATTGGATATGCATTAACTATACCAGCTTTAATATCTTAGCTTTGGAATGAAGATGTTTTCAATATATGCTGCTATTCCTGTCACAACAAATTAAATAGTATGCAGTTTAGATGATGTTAACATATTTTTCAATGTCTTGGTTGTTTTCTTTTCTCAAAGTCCAATCATCCCAAGGAAAAGTGATAGGGCTATTTATTCCATAGATGATATATATATGTATGATTATCACTTGTTTTGAGGGCATCTTTAATTTCCTTGATGTACTGGTATATGTGAATTCAGCTAATATCTTTTGTAGAAGAGATTGAATAGATACTGGCTATACAAATTTAATAGAGCTTCAGAAAGCACACTTTCTGTATACCTAATTGGGATTTAGCTCACTAGTATTTAGTTATTTATTTACTAACCCCACAACATGTCAGATCATATAAAAGGAAATGTTGGAAGCTAATGAGACATTTTAGTCTTACAAAAGGAAATGTTGGTGCAAGCCATTAGGTGTTTTTTTAGTTAGGTGGTGCGCTCCTATTGTTTCACATTGGTAGGTTAAATATTCTTTTCTAAATTGAGAGAGTTATTACTCTTTCTTTTGTAAATAAATAAAAGTTATTCTACTTGTAAAAAAACATTGTGAAAAGGGTCATAAGATCTATGTGTGAAATAAAAGAAATGGCTAAAATTTTAGATAGTTGACAATATTGGGACAAGGATCATCCATCTCACTCTCTGTCTCGCTCCATATACCAAACCAATGATAATCCTGCTACATGCATAAAATAAAAATTTTAAAAATAAAAAGTAACAAAAGGTAAAATTTTGATTAGCCTGATACAGGAAGTGTGACATGGAATGAAACATGTAATCTTTGTCTGTGATATTGTGTCTGGAATTAAACAATTTATAATGAGAATTAATTAACATGTGTATACTTATTAGATTTAAATGTGCTTGAATTTAAACAAAATTTTAGTGTCTACTTTTTAATTGAGTATAATGATCTCAATCATTCATAATATTCAATATTCTACATTTATACACTCTTTTCACATCTCTTATTCTCTTATTGTAACTTTTTTTGTGGAGAAAAAATGAATAATGTAAAAGTAGGTTAATGATAATAGTATGTAAATACTATCATTTTTAACTAAATCTACAATATTTAATTTTGTTGCATTTTTCATAGGGATATATAACTTTGATATTTATCTTTTAAATTATGAATTCTACAAACATAGAAGTTTAAAAACATGAAAAAAATAGAGGACCACCACAAACCTGAGCCATTAGAAAGCAAGCTAAACGGAGAAAAATTTCAACCCTAATCTGCCTTAAGAACAGTGGTTTCAATAGAGAACCATACATACCCTAAAACCAGGATCAAATCCAGAAACCAAAAGAAACTAAAATAGTGCTAAATCCATTAACTATTATGTGATGAAATTAACAAACCAAGAAAAGTAATTTTTCCATTTTACTCAGAAAAAAGAAAAGCAAGAAGGAAGTAGAGTACACAGAAGCATCATACTGCAACTTTAATGCTAGATCCATAGTCTTTTCCATCAGAGCAGTGATCAAATACTCAGATCCATTTTTTTAACATTAAAAATAAGATATTTGATTTCAATGCATTCATGAGTATAATACCATAAAAGGAGAAGAATGAATGAATAATTCTTTCCAGAAACAGAAAATCCAACCCAGATGTACCTATATATATAGCCTCCCTAGAAATCACTGAATGTTCAAAAACAGATTGTGACATATATGGTAATAACATTCGGCCGTGACTAACCTGCTAACTGAAGGTTAGTTCGTTTCAATGCGAACTATTATTTCAGCCGTATGATTTTTTTTAATTCATCTAAGCCGTTGGATATGTGACTGGGTACCAGGATTATGTTTGGCTGAAGTCGGTTTGGCCCAGTGTCACTTCTGTTGAGAAGTCGGTTTGGGCCTGAGTAACTTCTCAACAGAAGTCGGTTTGGCCCAGTGTCACTTCTGTTGAGAAGTCGGTTTGGGCCTGAGTAACTTCTCAACATAAGTCGGTTTGGCCCAGTGTCACTTCTGTTGAGAAGTCGGTTTGGGCCTGAGTAACTTCTCAACATAAGTCGGTTTGGCCCAGTGTCACTTCTGTTGAGAAGTCGGTTTGGGTCTGAGTAACTTCTCAATAGAAGTCGGTTTGGCTCAGTGTCTCTTCTCTATTGAAGTTGGTTTGGGTCATGGATACGTCTATGCAGCCCAGTTTTGCCCAAGTTTTTCCGTGTATTATCCCAACCAAAGAAACGGGTTTTCCCGTACCTAGAAGTCGGTTTTCCTCAATACAACATCCAAACTAAACCTACACCCCCAAAACCGACTTCCAACAAGTTGTTAACAGAAAGAAAGTTCTCATCCAACGGTTAAAAGAAAGTTCGCACCGAAACGAACCAAATCTCAGTTCGCATATTAGATTTCACCATAACATTCACACCTTTAACCCAAAAAACTTGTTTAGGTTTTCTATAACATATGACAAGACCAAAGGAAAAAAGTATATAGGTGGATCCAGAAAGAAGTTGTAGTATGAAATAGTTATAAATATGTAGATAGCTATAGAGGGTGGTAGTTGTGAGAAGCCCTAGGTAGGTAAGGATACATAGAATGAAGAGTGTTGAGAAACCCTAATGTGGGAATGGATGAAATGACTTGTCTTTGAGTGATTGGACCCGTGCCTAACTGGAAAACACCAAAGAAGGGTTAGGTCATGTTGCACTTCAAATATAGCAAATGCCACTGTTGTCCTTCTGCTGTAGAAAATTACCCTCTTCCTTTTGGGACTAGCTTCATGGATTCTTATTAGGGCAACAAAATTATTGCACTAGTACTACTTCTACAGCTCTTATTTATTATTTATTTATTTCATATACATCTTGATATCTTATTTCATATACGTGCACCAATTGTGATTGGTTAGAAAAATATTTAATTAATAAATTGGGCTTGGGCTTTCACCTTTTTTGGCAGAAAGATATTAGATTATTTGGACTATAATTAATTGTCTTCATGAACCATTATTCGGCCTATTTTTAAATGTAAACGAGACTTTTGTTTTTTGTCAAGGGCGGTCGGAATAAAAAAACTAATTATCATATTTGCAATAAAAGGAAAAGTTGTTCACAAAAAATATATTCAATGCAGTTCCAAGTTACCTTGAAGATCATTGAATGTAGTGTGATCTTCTGAGATGTGCCTGTAAAATGAAGGTGGTCATGCATTCAACAATATTATTTTTCTGTTTTAATTTGGAGAGAAATAAAATAAAAGTAGAGTGTAAAAGAGAATATATGTGAAGGACTAACCTGAGATGAGACGGAGAGAGCATTTGGGTATTTTCATATTTTGTGAGCATCCATTTATAGAAAAATGGTTGGAGCTCCTTTAATTCCGGAGAAAATGTACCACATTCAAAGGAACAAATTTGTTATAGGTAGATAAATAAATATACATGACAAAATAGGGTTTTGCATAGAACTAGCGAGTTGGGAGAGTGGCTAAATATTTATGTACTAAAGATTTATACACTGCACATCTTGTATCATTTATTAAGAGTCAATTATAATTAAATATGTATGAATGATACAGTAACAATATCAATATCAATGTGTTGGTGTCTCTTAATTAAATAATTGATTTATGATGCCACTTATTCTGATTTCTATGATCTCCTCCTCGTCACATTTCACCTTTAGGTGCATGCAAGTCTCCTTTTTAAAAAAAGAGAAAGAATAAGATATCATAATTGATATTTGAGACTAATATACTAATGATTGAAGTGTTAATATTTTTTTGGTAAATTCTTATATCATGATTGATATAATAAGAATAAAACATGATTAAAGCCCACGAAACCAAGTACCCATGGCATGAGCAAACATTCTTCTTCTTCTGGATTGCAGTGTTAAGTAAATTAAGAAGATATGGATAAGGATTGATAATTTGATAAAAAATGTCTTTAGTAAAATGAACAATCCACTCTTCAATTTATAGAGCATTGTAGAATGGTTAGTAGTAGGATTCTATGGTGAATTTGATGCATCTATAATCACCAAATTCACTCACCATATAATCACCAAATCCCTTTTTGATTATATGGTGAATTTGGGTATTGAAGAATAATGTAATCTAAAAGGGATTTATTTTCTGCTAACTTCAATGCATCTTCCTATGCTATTATTGCTCAGTAGTGTCTGGATCCTATGGATTTCTAGCGCCACTTCATTGTTACCTTTTGCATAACTCAAAAATCATGTTGGCTGGTCAAAATGCTTTGAAGTACTTAAAGGATGAATGATGTACTAAATATATATAAATCAGTACATTTCTAAGAAAGGCGTTTCCTTTTCCTCTATACAAATGCAAGAAGTATGCAGTTTTGTGGTTCCCACTACTACAAAGTAGAGGAAGAAGAGGAACAACCACTACATACACTCTTTTTTGACTAAATTGTGTAGAGGAAGATCTCCATGCATATCAGTCATTGCCGACTAAAGCAAGAGAATCTAATCTACTCTGAACCTGGTAGCTGAGCTATGGTTAATTAGTATAGCCCTACGCTATATAACACTGCTTTATATAAGCAAAGCAGTAAAATGAGCACATCACTAAACTTCTTTTTTCAGAAATCGGTGGAAATAAAAACAAAATGAGAAAAGAGCTTAACATACTGTCACCGTAAAGTTTCTATACTATCAACGCATAATCTACCATTCATTTTTATTACTTTTATTTAAGAGTCAATAATTATCAACAATAAATGATAGATAATGTGATAAAAATGTAAAAAAATATTTACCCTCTATGTGCATACATATTAAATCCATGACAAAATTACAAAAAATCAGGTCAAACTTAAATACTGTTAGATATTTTTTTCATGATTCTGCAGTAGTAGTTTGTCAACATTGTCGCCTACAATATCAGAAGTTTATTATGACATGGAAGAAAATCCGAGGGGCCATGTATCATGACAATTCAAACAACAGTTGTACAAACAGTAAATTTGGTTAACCAAGACATAGGCACATCCATATTAGAATAATAATATGCGAACTAAAAAGGAAACACAATGGAATACTAAACCCGCAGAAACCATGTCTCACAACATTACAAGCAAATACTTGGCAAAACAATGCAACAAAAATTACAAATTTACATCCGATGCAAAAATTACAAATTTACAACAGTAATTGAAAGAGTAAGATACTTTAGTTACAGGACCATTATGCGGCTATGAAGAATGACAGAGGCTATCCCTCCATAACAATACATATGTTATATGATTGTCATTGCAATATCACTAAAACTAGATTAAAGATCCACCAACAAATAAAGCTCATTGAATCAACAACTGTGATTACCTAATGGTAGCTAAGCCGGATATTGAAAATAAAATAGAACCCAGATAATATGACTGATTTAATACTAACATCTACAAGTAAAAGAACAAATTTTATCCTCTATGACTTATTGAGGATATGATTTTTAATTCTAATTCGAATTTTTGGTGCACCAGGAGTACCTTCTGATGCCTCGGGTTTGGTATCAGTCTTTTTTATTTCCAATTTAGAATTATATCCACTGGATTCAACAGCTTTCAGTTGTCTTGCTACATTCACTCCAGGTTCCTCTTTCTTATTTGATAAGTCTACGGAAGGTCTCTTTGGGACATCACTCAGCAGTTTTGCCATTTCTTTTTCCTTGCGCTTTTTCTCTTTCTTCAATCGCTTTCGCTCCAAATATTCCGGATCATCTTGGCGCCCTTTATGATTGTCGCGCTTTCGTTTCTTGTCCTTGCCTCTCTGCTTTTCTTTCTCACGAACAATTTCTTTACCCAATGATTCTCCATCAAGTCTTGCAGCTGAAAGAGTTTGAAGGCTCGCATATCGTCGTGCATCAGCATCTATATTGTAGTCCTGAATAATGCTAGATGATGATGGATCTTCTGGCTGAGGTTGTGAATAAACTAAACTTGAATCAGCAGTGCATTGGAGTTCTTTGACCAATTCATCACCATCACTCAAAATTTTTGCACTACCAATACTGGCAGTCATGCGAGAACCCCGATCATGCCAAGAATTAACTTCCTCAATATTGTGATTACTAGCGCTCAGAGTCTCAGCAAAATTCCTTTGGGGTGCATCTACAGAAACTGAACTGCTAGCTCCATGGTCCATTTCATTACGTCGACCTATAGAGCGTTCAACTATTTGATTATCAGTATCAGCCCGACTGGTGGCAGAAGATTGTTTAACCTTGATTTTAATTGTCCTCTTTCGTTCATGGCTATTGGATACTGTATCAGCTTCCTTGGAAAATCCATTGGGAGCTTCCATTGGTGCTTCCTGAGGAACTTCTGTTAATACCACATTGGGAGCCTCAAGGGGTGCCCCCTTCAGAGCTTCAACATGTGCTTGTTTGGGAACTTCACAAGATGCACCATTAGGAGCTTCATCAATTGCACCCCTCAAACCATCGGTCAAGGCCAAATCTTGTGCAAAGGTTTGGGTAGAGCTTGGCAGTTCCAAAGGTTTACTTTCTGGATCAAGAACAAATACGTTCCTTTGATAGTTGCAAGTTTCTGGAAGACTCAAATGCAATGTTCTATTTTCTCTGGGAACTCCATGTAGAGTTGGTGTCCTGCAGACAAGCAGAATAAGTTCAAAAAGTTTTTAAAAGAAAATAACAAATGCTAAAAAAATCAGAAGCATATATATATATACACACATTTAATAGGAATGGGAGAGTGGTTATAGATTTAAGGGGTGCAAGTTCTTCAATAGAGAATTTATGTTGGTATGAACATGGTTAAAAACACAAAATCCAGGATACTGATTTCTATTAATTTATAGATTTCCAAAAATGCAGACAAAAAAACAAGTTTATGAGATTATTTTCCCTAAAACGCCCGACTGGCTACTAATGAGGAAAACAGCACACATAACTGATGTCATTTTAAGCAGGTAGAAGTACACACAACAAGCATATTTCTACCTTCCTGCAAGTATTTGCAATATGCAGAATAAGTAGTGACGGAGAAAGACATTATTAAAAGCCATACGCCCTTCCAGTAAACAAAGCAAAGAGACAAGCGCTTGGCTTGTAATTCCATCATTTGAGTCCAATCCATCTTTCATCTGACATAGCCTCATAACATGAGTGGCCAGTTTTAACTGCCCTGAAATCAAGTAATGTAAATTTATAATAAGGGGAGCTAGGATAAGGATGGAAGAGAAAGTATAAAGAAACAGAGGAAGAGGGATTCTTGCAGAAAATACATTGGGATAATTAGGTAACATTGGGATAAGATATAAGCTCTTTGTGTACACTAATCTCCTAAATGTTTGAACAATTAGTTCTTAATTAATTTAATTTTAAAGTCAAAACTAGTTCAAAAACATTCAAGGCAAAGTGGGAATTAAGCAAATATACAATTTTTATCTACTTTGTTAGAAATTTTAAGAAAGATACAGATACACCATTATTTATGCAATGAAGATTAATTTATCCTGCCTGAAACAAAAATTTAGACAAACTAAATGTACTTCAAAAGCAGTATGACTTTAGATCAATTTTCATAACTAGTTTTAATTCCAATGTATTTCTGGACCAATTTTCTAGTTTGCCAAACAACTACATAGACTCTCTCAGGGCAAGGGTTCACAACCTCTTAAAGAAGGCTCCTCCTCTACATATTTGATAAACAAGAGTAATGCTGCATCAATGCCCTTGCAGTGGAATTCGAGATCAAGAAGTGCTCTGCATGCTTCAATTCGAACTTGCCACATTGCCTTTAGGTCCCGAAAAGGTTTTACCAGTTCATATACCCGATCCTGTAGATTTGATCAAGCATTGGATATTTTCATGCCCATATATGGAAAGCAGTTCGATGCAGAATAAGAAAATACTTACAAGAGTAACAAATCCTGATAGCTTTAGAGCAATCTGAGCCAATGTCCGGATACAACTGATAGTCAAGATCCCATTGTAGCTTGGCATGAGACTGGGACAAGACATTTCCATAAATTTAAAATATAATTACAAGTAATCTTGACAAAACCCACCATACTTAGCAAGAGATTAGCCATTTCACCTATCAAATTGTAGCAGCCGGTCAATATGCTTGAGAAGCGATGACAATAGGAGAATACTCTGTTATCAGTTTTAGAGACAGAAAGA